GAAATTTTTCCAAACCGACTAATTTGGTTTTGGTTTAGGATTGGGGTCGAAACCAACCCAAACCGAACTGCACCCACCCCTATTCTTAATCGCTGATATTGTTATTTATCATGTTTGGCCCTTATTTTTACTTAAATATATTTCTAACCTTTTAATAGATTCATAACTTACGCAATTTTTTAATCACACATTTAATGAAATCTCGTAAAAATAAATAGAAGGGGCACTTTGGGCTTACTTAATTGAATGGTTTGGTAGACTGTCCATTAATCAGCTTTGTTGATTATCCACCCATTCTTTGTATGTTAGACCTTGTTTGGCTACACTTTTAATTACAAATAATATTAACCACACATTTTTTGGGTCTTGCAACTTTTTAGTCACGAATTTCAAAAACTTATATCAAAATATATTAAAAATCTAATTTTAATCCCCATCAAACACAAACTGAATTTTTCTCCTTTTTCATAAAAAAAGGGATTATAAACTCATCGTTACATACTAGTTCATTAAAATATGTGGTTAAACCCCTTCGAGTAGGCCAAGTTAGTGGAGCAGGTGAACGCGGAGGCCAAATGTCACAAGTTCGAATTTTCTGTCAACACATTCTCGGTCAATCCCATCGCACCAGGCTTACTTAATGCAGTTTACCTCTCCTATGTGATTTGCAGGTTATTATATATGGAACGGAGTTTACCTAGCTCGCACCCACTGTGGTCGGGCTCCACTAGGAATAGCGGCTGCGGGTTCTTACGTTAAAAAAAAATGGGCCGATTTTTACGGGTCATGGCCAGCCCGTCCGTTTTGACACCTCTATCACAGTGGTCCTAGTTAGCAGAAAACGTTGTGCCAAATTTAATTAGAAAAACAAAGAAAAATGATTGAAGTACAGATTTTTTTTACCAGAATTTTACCAGGAATTTGAATTCCCACTCACATAGAATGACCCCATGTCCCCCCAATTGTTGTGTCTATTCTGTAAGTAAATTCCAGTACTTATAGCAAAGCTCAAAAACAAAACAAGTTTTTCCTTCTTCAAAATCCAAATCCCCATTTCGATTTTTCCCATTCTGGCCTTTGATTTTAGTTGGTTCCTTGTAGGAATCCTGACCGTTGATCGTGACAATAATGTCCTTGGGTAGGGTAGGAGAGGAGGAGGTAGAGGACGATGAAGGCAAGTCGGTGCCGACAGCGGAGGCGGATTTAGTACTATAGTAGTACTGTTATTTACAGTAATTTGGAGGATTTTGCGAGTTTTTCCATGTGAAAATGGTGGTTATCCAATCTATATAGACTAGAGAATTAAAAAAAGGAAAATTGTTGAAAATTGAAACCCACGATCGCACTGGGGCATCTCCAACCCATCCTCATTGTACCAAATTTTTGGTGCAATTCATCTCTAACCCATTGCACCATTTTGGTGCAAAATGGTACAAATGAATAGTGTTGTACTACAATGGTTAAATACCTTTTTGCCCTTCTCTTCCACTTTGCACAAAATTTTGTAAAGGGTATTTGTGTCCATTTATGTTATACAATAAATTTAATTGTTGTTGTTGTTGTTATTTGCATTTGTAAATAAATTTTAATCATGTAATCAATAATAATTAAGGAATGATTAAAATAAAAGTACTCAAGAAGTTTTAAAATGTAATAAACACAACCGCTTTCAAGAATTTCTTTCTTGTCATGGACAAATCAATGACAAAGAGGCTCACATAGCATTTTGAAAGGTATTAATTGATCATTTGTACGATGAATATACAAATTTCGAGAATTCAATTACAACACTAGTTTGACTTGGTAATATCATAATATCGGGATTCAAAACACCAATGAATGAGCTTTTGCCTCTTGCTCGTGGTTGTTACACTTTTTTGCCATGCTTCCGGCGGTGGTAAGGGGTGGAGCTTTTATTGGGGGGTTGGGGAGGTTTTTTTGAGAGAAAATGGTTGCTTTTCTTTTCTTTCTTTCTTTTTAAGGTAAAAACATGTTTCAGAAAAAAAATTTGGCACCGATTTTATGCTGACTACGATAACCACGGTAATTTGGCATATTTTTAATGGAAGTGAGCTGCCACGTTCAATATCCGTCTGCCACATCAGCGAAAAATGTAACAAATTTTTGAGGATGTGAATGGAGTGTCAGCGGAAAAAGTTCAGTGAGCACTGTAAAATAATTTAAAGTTTAGTAAATAATTCGTGACCATGATATAAATTGAGTGATTTTTGAAACATTTAACTCAAAAAGATGAGTACATTAGTTTTGAAACGTGCGTGTCACTTGCCTTGCTATTCACCCATTCTCAGGCAAAACTTACCGTTGTCGTTAAAACTAACACTAACGAAACAATTCTGTTAGTTTGCAGTTTACAAGCCCCAGATGCCGGAGTTAATTTCCAAATTGTCAAGAATTATTTGTGGCGCTTCATTCCAAACATCTTTGGAGCTACATATGTCTACTGTCTTGTTGACTCATCATCACTGGGTTATACTTATGGGGTCTATTGTGTATACACAAGGGACATTATCGAGCAGGTGCGGCGATTACTGTGAATGGGAGATAATGTAAACTGGACCGTGTTTAAACCAGACGTCCGAGGGTCATATGTTGTTTTGTCATCCATGGAATGTTGGTGTCGAAGAAGTTGCAACCAAATATAGAGGGAGCAATAAAGGAGGAATGTAATTAAGCCTTCATGCTGATACTGATTCACTTTGGGTCTGAATAATGAGGTGGCAGTTAGCCAACTTCAAATTTATTGAAAATAAAATTTGATTATCTCTGTTTTTGTTTGGTACGTCGAAATGCGCTCAAAATTCATTAGTGCAACATATGGTTCACATCTTCACTAGCGCCGTTATACTAATTTTACAAGAAGTCAAGAACCACACTATAGTTAAAATGAAATCGAGGGACATATTTTTCGTACATTTAACTTGACAAAATTGAAGTACAAGATACCAAACACGCTCGAGATGTTTTGGATTCATAAGGTTAGTTTTTTCTTGGACCTTAATTCAAGAACTGCAACATAATTTGGCGAATATATAACCTGCTACATCGAAATGTTCCTTGTTTGGTTTAGTTAAAAATGTTGATAAAAATCTTAGTAAAAACCAATAATTAAATTTAATCACCACATTTCATTACGAGTTCGAATCTCCTGCCAACACTTTCTCGGTCGAGCCCGTGGCACTGGGTTTGTCTAGTGTGGTTAACTTCTCCTGTGTGGTTTGCGGGCTACTGCACATAGAGCGGGGTTTACCTAGTGTACACTCACAGTGGTCAAGCCTCCGCCCCTTCGGGATGGTCGGGGCTCCGCTGATGGATAGCGGTTGCGGGTTCCTACGTTAAAAAAAAAAAAAAAAAAGTGATTAAAGTTGAAATTTAATTTTTTTAGAGCTATTGCTCTTCTTACAGCTCCAATCGGATATTTTCCCCATACTTTTGGGAATTTTTGTACACTGCTCATCAAATAATTGGACAATGGTGGTTCACAGGGCCCCACCCATTGAATATGCATAAAAAAGTATACAGTACGTATACGGTATATCTTATCTTTCTCTCTCTTCTTTTGTCTACTCCCTACTTTGATTCTCTGCCCTTAACGTCTCATTCATAAACACACTCTCTCTCTAACGCATCTACGTGCTTTCCCTCTAGTCAAGTATTCAATCTTGAATTTTCTACTTATTTTCTAGATTATTTCATAAGAAAATAAGTACTTAAACCACATTTCCCATATTATCCCTCCAGTTTTCCTTTATAATTCATTCTTCTCCTTTAGCCACTAAAGATCCAATCCAACAAAACATGGCTGTTGCGACTTCATCAACCATGGCCGTACTTTTCCTTATCCTCTTCACTCTGTTCTTGGCAAAAACAAATGCATCAGACATGTCCATAATCTCGTACGATGAGAGAAACAACGTTAATGGTCCGATTTTGCGGTCTCACGACGAGATCATGTCGATGTACGAGGCATGGATAGTGAAGCACTCGAAGTCATATAATGCTTTGGGAGAGAAGGAGAAGAGGTTTCAGATTTTTAAGGATAATCTGAGGTACATAGATGAGCATAACGCTAAAGGTAACCAGACATACAAGCTAGGTCTGAACCGGTTTGCCGATCAGACCAACGAGGAGTACCGGAGCAAGTATTTAGGTAGAAAAAATGTCGCTAATCGGAGTTTTCCTAGGGTCAAAAGTAACCGGTACGATCCAAAGGAGGATGACAGTTTGCCGGACTCGATCGACTGGAGGGAAAAAGGAGCAGTCAATCCGATCAAAGATCAAGGAAGCTGTGGTAAGCCCCTTTTTTTATCTACTTGAGCTTGCTCAGCTACTACTTAAAAACGCTTTTTCAGAAACAATTATGTAAGTACTTCTGAGAGAATTGATTTTTTTTTTTTTTGTGTTAAAAATTTAATATTTTTTATTGTGGTATTAATTATAATATTTTACTAATTTATTAATAAATGCAATATTTTAGTTAATTAAATGTAATATTTTTGTAATTTTAGTAGTTATATAAATTTATAATTAAATATTTTTTTGAAATAAATTAAGTTTTGAGAATTAAAAAATAAGTAAAGAAAGAAAATTGTTCATTTGGAGTAATAATTGGTGTAACAGTGGGAGTTGACTTTGTTAAGTCGTGTGGAAGTTGCACTAATTTGATATGGGTTGGAGATGACCTAAAAGAGATGATTTTGAAGAAACCTTTGTTGGATCATCTGTCTGGGTGGTGTAGTTGATTATCAAGCTTGTCTCTCACACTAGAGTTTCCCCAAGGAAAAAAAAAAAAATATCTTTTTATATAGTGTAATCAAGACTGATAACCATGAACATGGGATTTGATTATATAGAAATGGGCAGGGAAGAGATGATATTAATTAATGGTAATGGAAATGCAGGCAGTTGCTGGGCATTTTCAACTATTGCTTCTGTAGAAGCAATAAATCAGATAAAGACAGGTGAATTGCTGTCTTTATCGGAGCAAGAACTGGTCGACTGTGATAGATCATATGACGAAGGTTGCAACGGAGGCCTTATGGACTACGGGTTCGAGTTCATAATGAAAAATGGTGGCATTGACACTGAAAAAGATTATCCTTATACAGGCTACGATGGCAGATGTGACCAATACAGGGTAGGTATTGACACTGAATAAGATTGTTCTTATAATTTTTTCATAAAAAAAAAAGTTACTTTACCATATATTTGATTTACTACTTTTGTTGTTCTGTCTATGCAGAAAAATGCCAAGGTTGTCTCCATTGATGGTTATGAAGACGTAACTCCTTATAACGAAAAGGCACTACAGAAGGCCGTGGTAAATCAACCAGTGAGCATTGCCATGGAAGGTTCTGGGATCGGCTTCCAGTTATACGAATCGGTATACAAATTTCTCCTCTTGCAACTCGCATTCTGAATCGATCGTAGTTTATTTTTAAATATTTTCTTTCGAATAAATCTGTCCAGGGCATATTCACTGGAAAGTGTGGCACTGCTTTAGACCACGGTGTGAATGTTGTAGGATATGGTACCGAAAATGGTCTTGATTATTGGATTGTTAGAAACTCATGGGGTGAATATTGGGGAGAAAAGGGCTACATCAGGATGCAGCGTAATGTGGCTGCCAAAACCGGTCTATGTGGATTAGCCGTAGAGCCGTCGTACCCAATCAAGACTGGCAAAAATCCGCCAAACCCCGGTCCATCTCCTCCATCTCCAGCCAAGCCTGACAATGCTTGTGATGAGTTTTCTGTATGCCCTGAGAGCGATACTTGCTGCTGTCTCGAGGAATTACTTGGCTCGTGCTTTATATGGGGATGCTGCCCTCTCCAGGGTGCCACATGTTGTGAAGACAATTCCAGTTGCTGCCCCCATGCATACCCTGTGTGTCACATATACTCAGGCACCTGTTCACTGGTAAGAAGTAAATCGAATCTCGACTATTGAGCTTGTTAATTAATTGATCACATATTCACTTTCAAACTCGTGATGCAGAGCAAGGGCAATCCCTTTGGAGTGAAGGCACTGAAGCGTGTTCGAGCAAAGCAAATTGGAGCTTCTCGCAGTACTGAGGGAAGAACGAGCAGCTCTTAAGGAAACATCGTAGATCTTAACCTGGTGGATGAGATAGGAAAGTGCTTCACTACGAACTCTTTCCATACTACACCCGTTGGGTTGACAAGATCACAGCATGATGAAATCTATCTGTCTATATTTCTAGTACTTTGATTATGCAACAAAAACAGGGTTATTGTTTCTCCACTGCCCAGTTGTGTCTTAGTGTAAATTTCGTTTACACTCGATGTCGGTTGTTTAGCACATTTCTTATTCGCCTTTGTACTATGTATTTGATAAATTGCATGACTTGATTTCCGTTAGTATCAGTCAGTTTAAATGAACACACCAGAATTTCGTTGGAGGCTCGGATTGTGATAATAAGGAAACAACCTGAGTTCACTTGCAGAACTATCCATGTACAACCTATGCAGCCGTACGCTGCAATAGAGGCCCATAATAACATAAGACGCGGAAGTTGTAATATCAAACAGCAAAAAATGTCAAATTTTCGTGAAACTTCTACAGGTAAAGCCAGCATGGATAAATCCAATTTATCAGCATTTACAATGAACTAGAACCGAGCAGAGGACGTATCTGTCACAGGGCAGAGCAATACACAAAAGAAATTGCGGAACTACTGAACTTTCTTATCTATCACCTTGGAAAATAATACTGGTAGCTTTATCAGTAATGAACTAAATTACTCATGCCCACCCGTTGAATGCTTCAAGAATACTAATACAACACCCTTAAATCAACTTGTAACCCTAGAGATAAAGTTGCCTTCTGAATGAATGTGCTAATTAAGCTGAAACCTTAAGGCCTGGAAGTGCTCACGTCATCAGTGGAAGCTACCTTCTTCCCAGAGTAACGCTGGACAAAAAGATGAACACTTTAGTCTCTTTAAATTGATTATGTAAGAAATGCCAAACATAACAACAGATGCATTGAGAAAACTGTTCAATTCAAATACCTGCTTCCCAAAAGTGAATGGAACATATTTATATTTCATCATGTGCAGTATTTGCCTCTTCATTGTTGAGACGAACAGCACCAACCAGTAGAACAATAGAATTGGCCAAAACACAGGTACATCAAAGGCACTGAAGAAGGTCAGCACAAAGGCAAAGCAGAATGCCTTTGCAAGTGAATGCCTGACATCGGAAGTATCAAAAATTAGACCATCTATTTCCAGCTCAAGATTAAAATTTTACTTGGGTTGCGATTAATCAAAGAAAGTAGCAAATAATAGCTATAGAAGGGAACATATAATCTCGCCAAAATCTTTCAAATAAAAAAAAATGTAAGAGACGAAGCTTACTTTTCATGTTGACAAACCATCAAATGGTAAATAGACTTGTAACTCTTTGACAAAGTCACTTCTCCGGATTAATAAATAAAATAAAATGACAGATATTCCAATAATGTTGTTGTAATTAAAGATAATATTATCAAATCAGTATAAAACTCTAATGGGGATGTGTTTGACTCCAAAGATGCCGATGACTATTATACCTTAAAATAGGGTACACAGTTAAGGGCCCAGAAGGTGTTCAACTTCAGCATAACACCAAGGCAGTAAGCTCAACAGAGCTAGATCAGCTCAAAAGATGTTGGCTTGGTGCTAGTATACTTTGCAGTTGTGTTAAGACAATAGCATGTGAAGCATTCGTGCTCAGTTGGATAAGTCCTGAGGATGATAGGAAATCTCATTTGGAGTTCCAAGATGGTTTAACAAGCATGATCAACGGGGACGCATGTCCTCTCCCCTAACTCCTCCTATTAGTAACCCCAAAAGGCTATTTACTTGGGGAGTCAACACACTCTTAAATTGTAAATGCACACAAAAAACTCCACTACATGTTCTTATACTGTAATAGAGGATACCACAGTCTCACTTGATTGTCTGAATCGAATTGACCGCCTTTCATCATCTGAAAGCTGAGCAGACTAATCGCATCTGTTATGCACGTATCATAATGAGGAAGGAGAAGAATGGTCTCTCCAACGTCCCGCCACGCTTGACGTTGACGAGGAAATGCCTGACATTTACGATGTCTACAATATATATTTTGATTGTTGAGCACAGAATTTTATAATAGCAGATAGTTCATTCCAGACATTAACCTTCGATAGAGATGGTTGAGACACTGGCCAACTCTAGGTGGCAACCAAATGGCTTGTAAGACAACATTGCCAAATCAATGGGACATAGGAAGCAATTTTTCTCATCGGAAAGAGGGCAAAGTGTACTACCAAGATTTCTCTTTCAATTAAACACCAAATTTCCAGGAAAATTATCACACGCTACTTCTGCTAAGGGAATTCCATAAAAACCAATCACGATCCACCTAAGGACCTATTTTGCCGGGTAGCACGCATCAAGAGAAGAGCAACGCACATGCACCAGAAACAGTAATGCACTGCAAGCTTATCTTTGAGGGTGCCCGGAAATCCGAACAGTTTTAAAAAGAATCAAGTGAAAATAATATGATTTAATCTCCTTGACACGAACTAAGTTTGCACCTCCTAAACAATATCACTGTATTCAAAATTTTATCCGGATAGATCTGTTCACATGCTCTTTCCAATTAAACATTAACAAGGATACTACCACCTGCAAGTCCATAGGCATCTATGTCAGTAGCCTCACTTGGAGAAGTATATGCCAAGGTTAGACAACACAACAAGTACTAAGCATAAAAAAATGATAACTTAAGTACCCTAGCCTGAAATATATTCATGCTTATGCAAGTTGAATAATATCTTTTACAAAAAATAGTGGTGTACATTAATAAATATAACATCAACACTTGCTATCTACAAATCAAAAAGTCGGATGTCAACAAATCATGAAATCCTTTCCGAATGATGTAGTATTAATAATATCCCAGCTCTAATGGAGCGTACACTGTACATTCAGCAAAAAAAAAATCTGACTACAATGTATTAAGACTTGAATTGATCATAGTGATGGATTAGTAATAGGAAGCAGTACCAAACAGGGAACTAGGAACTTATTGTGTCCAAGTGATAAAAACTCATAAAATTACAAGTAATTTGATTTGATAGAACGAAGACTGAATGTGTGTGGATAAATTAGAAGATGAGAGAAAAAGTACAAATCCAGATTATCACGTCTAGTATGTGAGCGCCCCAAAAGGATGCTTACAATGACATGGCGGCGCATGAAATGGAGCAACTCCCCAAGTTTCCCTTCTTATTTTTTCTTTTCTAGCATCCATTCACTCTGTCACTAGAACTGTTCTATTCATAAAATGAAAGAAGTTAGCGCGGAATGCATGTTAAAGATCCACAGTTTTATTCACTTTTCACTCAGTAGCATGTGTAGAACACTACACAAGATTATCACCCTGGAACACTACAGCGTGTCATGTTTCTCTCCCTCTGCACCATAAGATCTCTACTCCACTTCCTGATCATCTAAAAAACATGCTCTTACCAATTATTTGGGTGCAAAGAGTTTGGGTCACAGAGTCGAATAATGGTACCAAAAACAGTTAGCCAGAAGAAATGGATATATGAAGCTAACCTCCCTTGGTTAGTTAATAAGCTTGCTTAAAAGCAAAACTAGCAGACTGCATGCCATGTACACAAATTTGAGCCACAAAACGCTTTAAAATACTCCCATAGTTCACTTAAATTTCAAGAACACTAATTCAACATCAAGCTTCAGGATCACTGTGTTCAAATATGAAACGTTTCATTTCAAAACTAAAAATACAAACCTACAGGTAAAATTGAAATATCAAGAAAACACAAATTTACCTATCGCCCATCATATGCTCAAAAAATTCTTTTCTTTTTTTCCTTTTTATCTCTTTGGTTGGAGGGTGGGGACCTTAAACGTTCAAATCACACGAGAAATTCATAATCATACAACCTCTGAAATCATTAACGGAAACGAAAAAACGATCAATTTCCCACGATTCTACATTCCATTATAACCATATAAACACGTGAACAATTAAATCCCAACCTAACCAGTCTAAATCTTAAATAGATCAAGAAAGACACCTTACCAGAACTTAAACTCGGGGAGGCGACGGACAAAGGGGCGGAACTCGTCGGAGCCCCGGGTTGGGAGGTTAGGTCCATCCCTGATATCCTGGATCTCAGGGTCGACATTCGGGGACAGGAATGCTATAAGCAGTTGCAGGATATAGATGCCGAGGCCGTACGTTATGATATAGTAACCCTGAACCATATACACGCGCAAGGCATAGATCAACGTGATAACCGACAGGAAGATCCAACGGTACATCACCAACGGCGTCGATTTGTCCAATAAATGCTGGTAGCGCCTCCACATGGCGTGGGTAAATCGTGTCACTGCGGAGGTAGGATTGTCGCCGGCGACGCCTGCTCCACCACCCACATCCATGTTTTATTTTTTGTTAGTTTGCGGGTAAGAAGAAACTATTAGAGAGAGTAAAAATGTCCCTCTCTCGTTCTGTATGGTTCGTTAATAGAACGAACGGTGGCCAGTTGATGATATGATTAGTGCTAATTGATGCAAACAGCACTAAGGCACCGTTTGGTAACCATTATTCTAGAAAAAAATGCATTCTTTGTGTCAAATCATACCTTTTTTGTGGTTGAAAATGAAGGAAAAGTTATTGATGTGATGGAAAATATTATTTTATTGATGAATGTGTGGTTGAAAATTAGTAGAAGAATGAGAATGAAAAAAAGAATGGATACCAAACATGGGCTAATTAAGTTACTAAAATTAATTTTAGTTACTTTCTCTTAAAGTTTTAGTATATTATATACTTCTTCATACAAATATTTATGATGCATAACAAGTGCAAATTTCTAAAAATACATTTGTAATATGCAAATGAATAAATAATACACATTTTAAGAAACTTTCACGAACTGCTCTTGACCCTCGAGGTCCCATGCCTCGAGCAACCTCCTCTCCTTGCTTAGGTCGACTAGCTCAAAATAAGCCATATACGCACGCTTATAAAAAGAATGTTACACAATACCTAGGCTACATATAACACTATTAGTATACTTTTTGATAATATAGATCATTACGCTTAGTTGTTGGCGATATTTTCGTTCCATATGAGGAGGGGAAGGTACCCGTGGCGTGACATTCTCCCCATTCAATCAACTAACGACCTCGTAACAATAAGTGAGTTTCGCATCATCACGCAACTTTCTCATTGGAAGAACTTTCACAATTGTGGCCCATCCCCTGATGGGTGGACATCCATATAGCACATATCCGGACGTCTGCTTGCAATACCTTTGTACATACAGTTTCCGACACCAACCTTCACCATATGCCTCTCAAGTATTAGTTTATTGGATGGATGGCCTTGTCATAGCGCTATTGTGCATATCAAAGCATCAACACACGTCCATCATTGTGATTTCTTTTGCAATGTTCACTGCGCTCCACGAAATAAACAACAAAGCACATAGCTAGTTGGCACAATGCCTACCTTTATCATCTATCATCCCAAAAGCTTTCTTCATCGGTTTTGCTTGCTTGTCGACTCATTTGGCAAATATGCCGAGGTCCCAAAATCATTTTCGCAAGAATGCACGCCAGTGATCTCCAGTAACCAACAACGCACATTCAAGCAAGCTCGCTTTGCTACTAACTTTTGCGAACCACCCTTGCGGTCCTCAAGGTCCAACGCCCCAAGGCGGTCTTCTCCCTTGCTCAAAATAATCGGCATGCAAGCAAGCTTAAGGGTAGGATACTGCACAATACTTGCATATGTAACACTGTCAATGAACTTTTTGATAATATAGATCATACGTTTAGATGTTGACGACTTTGACATGTCACATGGAAAAGGGAATACGCTCAGATGCATTCACTTTTACTTTCTTTGTACAAATATTTATGATGCATGACAAGTAAAAAATTCTAAAAAATATATATTTATACACATTTTAAGAATTCAACCATTTTCCGAACACCTCATAGTATTTTCGGGGCGTCCAAAGATTCAATCATTTCTCTATGATTTTTCGTGCACTGCCTCTTCTAATGGGTTTCGAAAATAAAGATCCTTTATTGGATTGACTCAAACTGACCTAAGAACTCCATGAATGAACCATAAATTGTCTTCTTATGATTCATCAAATTAATTGCATGACCAATAATAACTTGATCTTTAACTACCAGAGCGTTAAAATTATTAAGCATCTTGCCCGGTGGAAAGGCTAAATCTAGTACCGGGTAGATGATTTGGACAATACGACTCAGTTTTTTTTTTTTTTAAAAGATCATCCCCCTCCAAATAATTAAGATGCGAACTCAAACGTAGAAAACAACTTATAACAATATATTTAAAGTTGAATCAAAATCTGTGACTTGAACCGACCTGAATCCAGTCGGGTTTCCGAGTTATTGATTTAAGTGACCAGTCCTACGAGCGAGTATATTTCTTAAATTGCCGTTGCAATTGTAGTATTCCTTTTTGAACCCATGAAACTCGACGCTATGTATTCAGTTTTGTTTGACAATCATTATTTTCAAACTCTTCTTCCTACGTACTCATTTTCAACCGCACATTCACAAAATAAAATATTTTGCTCGTAAACTCAAAACTTTTCCGTACTTTTTAACCACACATTTTCCTAAAAATCACTATTCAAAACTCTTTTTCCTCAATTAATTGTTGTCAAACAGGGGCTCAACAACTTAGGAACTGTTGTTTTAAACTATATCAATCTAAAGGGTATCTTTTTCCATACATGTTTATTCGATCAAGTTTGTGAAAAAATCATCAAATTCCTTGTCCCTGTTCCAAGTCAACTTGTAGCCTGCAAAATAATTGCTGTGCTTGGTATGAATAAGTCTTAAAAAGCAGCTGTATTTTGGATTCACTTGACCGACGTTGAAAACTAAATTCAGATGAATGTAAAAGCTTACAAGAAGCTGCAAAACTATTAGAAGTTGACTAAACATTGTTGACAGATGTGCCTAACTACTAATTCTTGTCATACGCCTGGATTTTTAAGTGTTTAGATATAGATCTATCGAGTTTTGAGATTTCGTTTAAAAGGATGAATCATGTCAGAGGTAGAATATATTTTCACATATCTGTTACGATTTTCATAATTTCAGCGACTTAAGTTTCACTCTCGACTTCTTGCTTCATTTCTCTTTTCCATGACGGTATAGCCTTTTGTCTATGTAGTCATTGAATGAGTAGATAAAACAGCGTTGATAATATCAAACAATGCAAGATCGTGTTCTCTTTTGGATGCACATGCCAACTAACAAGTTGTCAATATACAATCATTCTTTGACATTTTCATGAGACTATCAATCCGCAGCCCGCAGGGAATACGATTTTCCTTCTTATTTTATGTTTTTCAAGGCAATTGATGACCGTGTTAGTTCAAAGTCAACTCTCTAACGCATGGAAGAGTAATTTCTTGCTTGCTTCCTTCCATTTGCTTACATAAAAGTAATGAATATTTCGACATTTTGACAAGCCCTTGAAGCTTGATCATCATGGTTGGAGCACCCATTTCTTTCTCCGGCAATCAATTGCAGCCACCGCCTGCTGGCCTCCAAGGTATGTATAGAATACTTAGATAAATCTCACTTACAAAAACAGCAATTTATATGTGCAATTCAATGTATATCTCCTTTTTCATTCTAGGTACTAACACAGCTGAGAATTTGGACTCGTCGAAATATGCTTCAGTACATCCTCAGCTGTATGCAACACCAAATGCAACAATTTCAACTCTTTTGCCATATAATGGAATGCCACCACAAGGTCAACCACCACCACCGGCTTGCACCCTCGCGCCACCTTACCAGACTACGGCTGCCCCTTATACTAACTTGACGACTCCAAACCCAGCATCAATGCCTCCTAATGCTACCTTCCCTCCTAATCCATCGATGTTATACCCCACACAATTACCTAATCCAGTTGCCTCGTCTCCATTTCCTCCAAATCCAACCAATCCCGCCCCTTATCCTCCGTCATCTGTTGCCCCCCCTCCTTTCCCGCCTTATTCAACTACCCCCAATAATTTGTATCCTCCATGTTCAGCTGCCCCGGTAAATTCTTATCCTCCAACTTCGGCTGCACCAGGAAATTCTTATCCTCCAAGTTCAATAGCCCCATCTCCCTTTCCTCCTAGTTCCACAAATCCAAGTCCTTACCCTCCTAATTCAGCAGCCCCGTCACCATTCCCCACATACCCTCCTAATCCAGCCGGCACCTACTCATCATCTCCTTTATCTTCTGCTCAATCGCCTGCGTATCCTCCCCAGTCATGTCCTCCCATGGGCTACCCTCCACAACCTAACACATATAACCCTCAGGCTCCAAGTGGTTACCCTCCAGCAGGTACATGGTTATCTCAATTCCATGTTGCTAAAACGATGCACACATAGTACTAAGATTTTCTATAGAATAATGCCTTGATGCACACTTGCATGATTTAATTTGTAATGACTACTCTCTTGCAGGGCAGTCAAGTGGAACCTACCCACCACCATCTACTGATTACTATCAACAGGCACCTCCCCAAAGCGGAGTCTATCCACATCCCTGATCAAAACCTGATTATCATTGCATGAGAATTTGAATTGAACTTCATGTTAAGTGTTTGTTGCTTAAGAGATTGAAAGTATTACATTTATGTATTATGTTTTCCCGAGATTAATAAAATAATTGTATAAATGTATATGTATTCTTCAGTAAACTGTGGCGAAAAAAATCTAATAACATGTAGGTACTTCGCATGGATTCTTGCGAAAAATCCTTTTTCTTAATTTTGTAATCGAACTCATTCGCTCGTTCAAACTCAAAGTACCACTTTTGTGTAGGAATTTCTTTTAGCTGCGAATTCTCAGTAGGTTTTCTTCTGTTTTGTCTCTTGATGAAGAAACTTGGTCTTTGTGCTAGCTTGGAGAACTAATGGCGCACCCAACACCACCTCATTTTTGTTATGAAATTCATTGGATATTATCAAGTTGAAGCTCTTATACAAATTTTGAGCATGAGGAAGATTTTAAACCAATCTGTCCAGCACCTTTGCCATTCTTTAGATAAGAGCATAGTCACTTTCCATTTCTCGTGGCAACTCTTCACTTCCATTGTTTTGCATTGCCTTATTCCCACTTTATGAAACTAGTCCTATTTATATATGTAAAAATGCCTAAAAAAAACGAAAAGTTACCAAACTGCTTAACGTTCCAGTCTCAAGCGTGTGCCCACTCCTTATTTCTTAATCGGAAGATCCATGTAAGGGTAAAAGGTCAGTTATACAGAACAATTATTAGACCTTCTATGCTTTATATATTGATTGTTGGGCTGTTAAATGAAAAAATGTAATACTCTCTTTCATCAAAGTGGTGTGTCTCAGCATAAAGTTGTAGAAGGAATGGTTGACCAAATCTGATTAATATAGCTTCTTGTGGCTTCTAAACATTTGGAATGTGTAATAAATGTAGCAATGAAGCTTTTATAATTTATGACCATAAACTTTCGTCCACCACTCATTTATATCTATTTATAATTTAAACCGTTTATAAACACTTCTCAAACATTATTAACATACTGTGAAAATAGTTTAGTAGCACAGAAGAAGGTGGGATCAAGAAGCTAAAGATCAGACTCTCCTTGTAGTACAAGCTGAATAATCGAACACCTAGAAATTGACCTTAAAAGAACAATTGCTTCCAAAACAAACGCGACATCTAGCTATCCTTCTCATTACCATATGATACAACAGTGAAACCTGCATAGCTTAAATTGAACTCCAGAGGCCAAATAACAACTACTTTATCATCTCATATATCCACTCAGTTTGATTCCTCTATTAGCAATCATATAGCATGCAGAAAAACAGGTCACACAACTGGATTATACTATATAAGGCTATCCTTGTACATAGAAAATAGTCAAAAACAGCCCACAAAAAGATCACTGGTGAACGATTTGATCTTCACAACACATATAATCTCATTCCACAATCATACAATTTCATTACATGGTCATATATGACACGAATGGGACTAAGAAAATGAATTGCAGGAAACTAATTCATTTTGTTCTAATGATCAACATTCTGAAAGAATTAGAAACATGAAGGATTGACATCCAACAATTTGACATAGCATGGCATCATTGGCACCATGACATATTTCCGCAACCAAACTAAGGACAAGAATAAAGCTTGTGACAGCAAGTAGTAAACTTGATGCTTTAAAACATGTTAATCAGTTAAGGATAGTGCAAGTCTAGATATAAAGAGAGCGTCGGGCATTTCCTCATTCCTATTCAAACTAAGGAAGCAATGTGATAAGTCCCCAACTATCACGTCAAGAGGCATCCCTTCATACAAATCAGACACACAAGCACACGGGGGAACTCTCTAACAACTCTCAATAATGGAGATTACGGAATGACATTCAACAGGGCAGAGAAATAAATATACAGAACTATAATGCAGAATAATGTGGACAGACCAACAGTGGAAGTTGCCCACCATCTCAAGTCCTTCCCAAATTATTCCGGGAACTGCCACCAAAGCTTGACCAACGCCTCAATTTGGAAGCCACCAAGCTCCTCCCCCTTAAAAGCCCTAGCCTCACCTTAAAAGACATTTGCATCCCGCTATTGCTTGCTGCAGTATTAATACCCCTAGTTTGGTCATCTGTTTGTGGAATTCCAATACCACTAGCTTCTTGCTCACTAGCACAGGCATCCTGTATTTCTGGCTCCATGGCATCCAAATTCACAGCAAGAGAACCTCTACTTGCTCTCAACCAATCCGCTCCCTCAGAAGTCACCCCTATACACTTCTTAAACTTCACTTTCACCAAATTGGGACACCCACCAGCGAATGCTTCGATGCCATGGTCCGATACTGGACAACTCTTTATGCACAACTTCTTTAATGCAGTACACTTTGCAGCTATGCACCACATCTCTGCATCCCCAACGGTATCACTCCCGCACAATGCTAATCTTTCCAAGTTCTGACAATGTATCGCCAACTTCTCTAAACTCAACTTCGTGGGATTCACACCAATCAGAACCAGCTCTTGCAAACTAGGACAATGAGTTGCAACGGCAATTAATCCATCATCACTTATTCTATTCGTTTTCCATCCATCAATATGCAGTTTCCTTATCAGCTTGCATTTTTCCGCAACAGCCATAAGTCCAGCATTAGTACCAGCAGGGATTTTCACTAAATGCAATATTTCAAGATTCACACAATTCGAAATGGCAGAGAGCCCGAGATCACTGACCTGAAGCTTCTCTAGATGAAGCTCCACAAGCCCAGTAATTCGATTTGCTATCACTACCAACAAACTGTCCCAATCAGCAGGACATCTGAACAGCTTCAAACTCCTCAAGTTATTCGACCCAATAATCAAAGGCTCGAAACACTGCCCATTGTAAAGATCTTTCAAACAAATAACTTTCAAAGCTCCAGCAGCCTTTCCCGGTCCGATGGGCTCGGTCCCAACACCACCAGTCAATCGCTTCACCGATAATTCTTCCAGGGACTCACAATTATTGAGCAAGGCATTCATGCCTTTGGCCCCGAAACTGCAAGATCCACAGGAGAATCTGCGCAAACTATTACAGTTTCGGGCAAAAGCGGCCATTCCATCTTCAGTTATCGCCCTACAGGCACGGAGCTTCAACCTGGTGAGATTCCTACACTTTAAAGAAATCAGAATCAACGAATCATCGCCTATGCTGGCTGATTTACGGTCGCACTTCAGCGCGAGCTTAGTGACCGAATCGAAGCGCGAGAGCAATTTAGGGATAAAGGATGTATGTTCAGACTGAGCCTTCAACGACAAGCGGTGTCGGCTCTGGCCCTCGATTCTCAGCCACCGATGGCACACCAGGGACGATCGATTCCGATCGGCGGAGGATAACGACTGGAAAATGCAGGCCAGGCATTCTTCTGGCAGGTTCAACGTGTAGTCATTCCCACTGATGGCGTCATCCGTGTCGGAAGTGATATCCTCTGGTCTATCGGAATCTGACGGCAACGGGGAGATCACGGCGGGTTTGACTGATCTGGGTCTGGATCTGGAAGATGATTGGCCCATCCGCGGCAGTTGTAGGATTAAAACGTTGGGCCTGCGGCGGAGGATGAAGTTTTTCTCTCAGCTGCTTTCGTGTACTCTGCTTCCTATTATTGATTATTTGGGTTAAATTTGCGAATGATCTCTCAACTTTATATTTAACGTATGACTCAATTTAATTTTATTTCATCATATCGCCTAACTTTATATTTAGTTTCAATCAAGCCATCCGATAATTTTGTTCATTGAGTAGCCTATGTGATACTAAATATGAAGTTAGGTAGCTATTGGTGGATTTAATCCTGATTATTTTCTTGACTCAAAATGGACGTGAAATTGGAATTGATTCGGATTCTGTAAAAAGGGGTGTGTTGGTTAGATACTTGGATTATATTTTCTTCATAAATATAATCAACTTATAGGTGAAATCGCGATTGATCCTAAACATTTGATTTCTAGCATTTAAGTCTCAAATTTTACATATGCCTGAAAGGTCCTTTTATGACGAAAATGTTAGTTTGACCGCCCCTATTTTGTGGGGATTAAATTTAAAGTATTAGCTCTCTAAAATAGCTAGTATCTTGTATTTAAAGAGTCTGTTGAAGATACTCTAAATAGTAAAGATTGAGTGCAGCTAAACTTAAGCATGGCAACGAACCGAGCCAACTCATGAGTCGAAACTCGAGGTTCGTGTGTGGCTTTAACAAGGCATTTTTTTTGTCGAGGCCACCGAGCTGGATTGAGACGGGACTGCTCACTGGTTATTCAATTTTATTTTTTTAAAAAATACATGAAATTCTAAAGTTCTTTAACAATGTAAATTTTGTACAATTTATACTTAGTTTGATGCACGGGCTGTGTTATTTTTTAAAGTAACGTTAGTGTGTCTTGCGGTAAGGTTGATGGAAGATATGTGCATTAGATTAGATGAGCAAAACGAACTTAATTTAATGAGGTAAATTTACATATAATGTTATCAATAAAGTATAGTCACGAAGCATATGAAGAGCATGAGGAAATAAAATAAACTTTAACGCATACATAAAATAATTAGCAAACAAGACTTAACTGTATGAAGGGACCTGAACAACATGCCAAAATCTCGATCAGAGACAACACCTCGTGGATCTCCCTTGATAGAATATGAGATGGTTGACCTATAGATTAATTAGCTTATTTATGTTTTTCCATTGTCAACTGTAATAACCAAATTGCTTGCCAGTTGACGAAGTGGTAAAAAACATTGGGATCCCATTGGTTTCGAAATGCGAATGTTGTGTAATCCCTCAATAGAAACCATTGATCATGGGTTATGCAACGGGGATATCACCAAAAAAGTTTGGTCTTATTTTGTAGCTCATTTCAATATATCCCTCCCCTATGTTACAAATTGGAAAGGAATGATGAATCTATGGTGGAAAAATCTGTCTGGCTTTTCACAGGCGAGAATTCTTCGCGGCATCACACCACTTATTATCACTTGGGAGTTATGAAAAATCAAACGTGAAGCTAGGATGATGGGGCGCCCCATCGCTTAGCAGAAAATCGTTTGGCAGACCAAATCAATTATTTCCCAGGTTGCTGGACAGATTTCCAAGCTCAGTAAAATTACAGGATGTAATGTCTACTGATTGCGTTCTTTGAACTGTCCCATCAATTACCCTAAGCAGAAAACGGTGCAGCTGATCAATTGGAAGAAACCAGCGTGAGAGCAGTTGAAATTAAACGTAGATAGTGCAACAAGAGGAAATCTTGGTTCAACCAGTGGAGGATGAATTCAACAGGACAACAAAGGCACATGCTGGGCAGGTTTTTCTCGTCACTACGGTTCCTGTACAAATATGGCGGCTGAAACTAGTGCGCTTCTCGACGGTCTACTTATGTACAGGGACCTCGGAGTTAGGAATGTCATAGTAGAAACTGACTCCAAGGTCGTGGTTCAATGGCTTCAAAAAGGCATTTGCTCTTTATGGTGGCTTTGAGAGTTTTGGGATGAAGTTTTATAGCTGATCCGACTTCTTAATACCCAAGTCCAGCATGTGTTCCGTGAGGCAAACATTGCGGCTGATCTTCTTGCTAAAAATGGTATGTTTTAGAGCTAATCTGACTTCTTAATGCCCAAGTCCAAAACGTGTTTCGGGAGGCATACATGTTAGCTGATCTTCTTGCTAAAAATGGTAGTAATGGTTCGTCTTTTAACCTATCCTTCGACGACAAGGCTCCAACACTTCTTAGAGGAATCTTGCATACGGATAGGTGGGAATCACCATATCTTAGAAGTCTTGAATTGTTTCGTTTTTCATGTCTTTTTGTAATCTCGGCTTTCCTCCGCGTCAAGTGAGGGTTTATTATTAATAAAATTTCGTACAAAAAAAAACCAAATTATATATATGTGTGTGGAGGGGGGAATGATTCACGAGTAATTCATAAAAGACAAGCATATGACGATAATTGTGAAGTAGCTTAACAATTCAAGAAGAAAAAAATTTCCCATGAACTAAATAAACTGGACCTCCACTAAATACACACTTCTCATATTATCGGGAAAAATAATTATACCAAAAAGCAATGAGGAAAAAGAATAGTTACCTGTGAGATGACGAGAGTGCTTAAAGAATTTAGTGCACATCTCATTCAACAATACATGAACCTATTCAAAAACCAAACAGCATTGAAACCAAAGAGAAACAATGATCTCATTCAAATCCAACTTTTCAACATAAGGAACACAAAAAGGAAGAATAAAAAATTCCTAAAATGAAAAATTATATAGTGCGCCAAATGCAACCCAAATGTATAAACTAAAATCACAATGTAATTGCAAAGCAACCAACAAGAAATTAAAGAAATATACTCTATGCTTCTGATAGCAATAGATTCAAAAAGGAACTAAAAAACCAGGCAAGCTAATGGAGGACATACGTATGGTCGAAGTCAATGGCCAACTTGATCAGAGGATCGATGGATGCCCCTTGAAAGAGTACAGCTACCATAAGAAACGAAACTCTTTTTTTCCTATTCATGATTGAGACAATTAGAAGAAAATAGAATCGACATGATACCGTCAATGTGAAAGCTAAACAAATGAACAATAAAAGGAATACATCTTCATAAGGAGGCGTAGAGAGTAGCCAAATGATGCAATGCATCAAAAGTTTGTCAAGGATTGTGATGGTCAAAAAATGTTCACATCCTGCAAAGAAGTACAATCTATTGTTCATCTTTGCCAGTTAAAACTCAAACTATGTCACGATAGTCAATTACATGAACCATATTCCCAAGCTGATGTCTATATTAATCAGCAAAAGCTTTTGAGATTGGCTGCACAACATATCATGTGATTTAAATATGGCTGGACATGGTCCGGTTCGATTTGGTTTGGTTCTGAAGAGAACCACATTGAACCAAATTTTTTGGGTATTTAATAAAGAGAATCGTCGGGTCCAAATATAATTATGGAACCGTTCGAGTTCGGTTCGGTTCTATTCGGTTCCATATCATAATTAACTTTTTTTTAACATTTACAGAAACACTACATAAATACAATTACATGTTCATTCGTAGCTTCGATGGGCAGCTGGAGAGGGGAAGTCGAACTCTGCAGTCAGCGGCTTCGATTTGGGCATGTAGATGTAGGTTTTCACTTTATCAAATAATTTGGGGTTAGTGGACCT